GTCTTTAAAATGAAAAAAAGAGGTGCAGGCACAAAAAACGTTCTCCATTTAGTTTGGCTTCTGATCATGAGTAGATAAGGTCAGAATATGTCAGGTCAATTAATAGATTTAAGTCCACTTTGTATTTGAACTGCCTTCTTTCTATCACACAGTTAGACCCATTTAATAATCAAATTCCATGAGATATTTAAATCATCATCATCATTTCAGAGACTGGGTCTCACTCTGTTACCCAGGCTGCAATGCAGTGGCTCAATCATAGCTCACTACAGCCTCAAAATCCTGGGCTAAAGTGATCCTCCTGCCTCAGCCTCTGGAGTAGCTGGGATTACAGGCACATAACAACACACTTAGCTAATTTTTTTGTAGAGACAGAGTCTCGTTATGCTGCCCAGGCTGATCAAGCAATCCTCCTACCTTGGCCTCCCAAAGTGTTGGGACTACAGAAGTGAGCCACCATACCTGGCCTGTTTAACTCAAATTCTGCAGTATCCAAAATCCCTCTCCACTGCACCCTGAGATCCCATATGCTCTCTCAAACCTTACTTATCGGATAAAAAGAAATTAAACTGATCAAAACTAAAGTGCTCTATCCTCAAGATGGGTCTGAATCTGGACATACTTTTGAGGAGGAGGAAGCTACCTTACAGCAATAGCAGTAGCAAGCACTGTCACTCCCATGGCACCTAAGATTGGGTCAGATAGAATTTGCAGGTAGATTAATAATATTTTAAATTCCGATTCTGGCTTCTCTGTTGATCTGCAAACCCGTAAGCTCCTCTTCTACTTTTCAGCAACAGCTTAGTGAATGTTAATATCAAGCAAGCAAAAACAATTAGGAAGAAACTCACTGCCAAGTCACTGCATGTGTCACAAAGCCAAATATGTATATGTTGAACTATTCAGTTATACAGGCTATTGCTTCTTCTACGCAATAAATGATCAAGTGCTATTTATGCCATTTCAAAACCCTCATACCCTTAAATACTAATGAGGAAAGTAACCACCCTCCCCTCTTTTATCAGTATCTATCTATATAAAATATTTATCTACATAAAGTTCTATTCAGTTATGTCTCAAACTAAAATCAAGAGACTACTACTTAAAGAAAAAGGAGGAGGTTGGGTAGTAAACTAGATTAAGAATTAGTTTCGAGGCCGGGCGTGGTGGCTCACGCCTGTAATCCCAGCACTTTGGGAGGCCGAGGCGGGTGGATCACAAGGTCAAGAGATCGAGACCATCCTGGTCAACACGGTGAAACCCCGTCTCTACTAAAACTACAAAAAATCAGCTGGGCATGGTGGCGCGTGCCTGTAGTCCTGGCTACTCAGGAGGCTGAGGCAGGAGAATTGCCTGAACCCAGGAGGCGGAGGCTGCGGTGAGCTGAGATCGCGCCATTGC